GGGTAGAGTGAGAACATTTCTGGAGATTCCAGATATCAAAGTATAAAAAGAAACTAGGAAGCAAAGATTAAGATAAGCAGCAATGAATAATAAATGGAGATTTGATAGAGGCTTTCAAAATGCCTCATATTTGATATCTGTAATCTATTATTTTAAAATGTATCTTTTAACTTTTCCTATGTTTTTTTTTCTTGAGTGGATCTAGATTTATTAATCTAATGATGTATGATTAAGAATTTTATTTTGCTTTTATATTCAAAATCAGATGACTTGTGTAAATTTGTCAATGTTCTCTAAAAGTTTTAAGTGAGTTTTAGCTTTATGATACCCTCATTTGAGAGCAGCTATGTGAAGTGCATTCAAGAGTTGTAAGTAAGCCCCTCAATTTTAGAAACAGGGTTGGAGATTCCATTTGATCAAAAGTTTAAACACATTTCAGTAGTAAATTAACCACTAATACTACATGATATTTACTGTAAGTCACCGACTCTGTTCAATGCTCTATACTATTCCATTTAATACTCATAACAATTCTGGCACAATTAGTACCACCATGTTATGTGTAAAGTTTAAAGGAGTTAACAGTTTTGTCAAAGATTTTACAGTGTGTAAGATGAAGATCTGGGTCTCAAACCCAGTTCTGACTGATGTAAAGTTCATGATCTTAACCACTGTACTATACTAGCACCGTCTGATGCCTAAGAAATTGTGGGTAGGAAACTTCATTATTAGAATTCCCTTAGGGATTATATTAAATTACCTTACCTTACCTTTAAATTACATGAAATTGAATTACCTTAGATTACAAATTTTGAGAAATCCTTGAAAATGTCTAAGTATGTAAGAAGTTAGTCATAGATTAAAGCAGTAGTATCACTTGTAAATAAAGATGCATGAAGTTTCTATCTAAGTTTCTCATGATCGAACAGTTAATTGCCTCCTTATGTTCTGCTTGACATAAATACTTTTTACCATTCATTCTGTAATCACCTTTTGTATGCACACTACGTTCCAGGCCCTATCCCAGGATTGTTAGATAAAACCAAACAAAATATGGTTAATTTTTTGCACTAAAGTTATTTAAGTTCTTTTGGTTAATAGAGTATCATAGAAAATAGTCTAGATGTCTGAGTTTCTGATAATTTTACTGTAAAACAGGTGAACAGGGTTATATATTTGAAGCCAATGTATACTTATTATAACCCCAAGTATACTGTATCCAACTATCTGAAGTAATGTAAAATCTCTGATTCCACAGATAGGGCAATTAAAATACAAGATGAACCTGGCATATTTTGCCATGCCAGAAAGCATCAAAGTGTTGAAAAAAAAAAATGATGGTAACACATCAAAAGGACATGGGAATCAGAACGAAGTGACTTCTACTCACCAAATAAGGGACAATTGGAGAATCAAAATAACCAAAGACAGTAATGAAATATAAAAAGTTTAAAAAAGTTGGGAATCCTTGAGCCTCCACCATTATAAATAGATAAAGTAATAAATAAGTAAGAAATAGGGGAAGTCAGGTTAATGATTGCAGTGGAATGCCAAGCGCTGACTGGTAAAAGTAGGATTGCTCAACCTAGAAAAATCATCATTTTGTAATCATCAGAGTAAAGATTAGTTCACAAAAGAATCACTGGTAATGCAAAATCTAAGGGGAAGGTTAACAAGCAACAGACATTTGCATTTTAAGGGTTTAAAATCTCTCCAATACTGCTTAGTGGTAGCATGGCGAAAGGAAGAGAGAGAGAGAGAGAGAGAGAGAGAGAACTATGCAATGCAGAAATCAGACACCTTGATTAGGTAATCAAAATTACATCACAAATGAGGGACAGATGGATATCCTGCGCCTGTGGATATCATTCCCTGAGAAGGCCACAACTTCACTTGTTTCGTCCCAGATGGGCATGACTAGAACCTAATCACGAGGAAGCAGGAGTCAAACCCCAAATGAGAACACATCCTGTTAAAAAAGAAGGGGATGGCACATTCAGTGCTGAAAAATGTCAGTGTTTGGTAATGCCATTAGGAATTAGACCCCAGAATAAAGAGGACTGAAGGGATGTGACAACAAAATAAGATACTTGGATTTCGTACTTAGAGGGAAAAAAAATCTATACCCAACGTTATTCCATCAATTGACAAAATTGGAATATGAATAACAATGGGACAAAAGTATGATACCAATGTTAAATGCACGTAAGTTGAAAACAGCATCACGGTTACATAAAAGAATGCCCTTAGTCTTCAGAAACACACACTAACATAACTAGGAAGAAAAGGCCATGATGTATGCAGATTGTTTTCAAATGGTTCAATGAAAAAATATATAAATTTTCATATACTCTACACACAGCAAATGTTGAAGCAAATGGGAAAAATGATGGATGAAATCAAGTAAAGGATGTAGGGCATAGTTTGTATTATTTCTGTAACAATTTTTACATGAATTTGAAATTAATTTTTAGATATAGAATAGAAAATATAGAAAGAAAGAAATCATCAACATACGTAAACTCTAAGGAAGCTCATATATACAGAAACTTCTCAAGAACGATGTTTTTGTGAAAGGTACAATGTGTTGTTTGAAGTAACAAGTAGGATGACACCTCCAGTTAGTTAAGGCAATGTGTGTGATATGCTTGAACCCACAACCTAATTTTTGTGGGGGGTGGTGGTGGGGATTAGGGAGAAGCTCTGTGGAGCTATCATCCTGTGACCACTTTTTTAGTTGATTTGTAAAACTGATATAGACCATGAACAAATCAGCAAGAATTAACAAAAGTACTGGTTAAAAAAAAATCTAAACAAATTACACATGTGCAAAAACCAGCCATTATTTCTAGTACAGACAGGGAGTGTATCTGTATCTGTTATCTGTTCCTGTGGCGACCACTATTTTTAGATACATTTTCTTTTGTGATATCGCAAAAGAAGAGAGCATACAAAATGTTGATATTCGCTAGGTAAAATATAGACAGATCAATGGAGTTTATGATTTTGCTTTAAATATAAGTATGTAAGTTTGGAGAAATTTAATAGAATTATAAGACATGTTACTTAAAGCAGAAACTCTACAGTGCTGTGCATTTGAATACAGATCATTAATAAATTATAATTTGAAATTATTGGAAGCATTTATAAATATATCGGCCATGTCTAGCTATTCACTGGAGAATAGTTAATATTTATGCTAATTTTACCCATTTGCTCTGTATGGCAGGATCAGAAAAATAAATCCATGCGCAGTTTAACTTATAAACCCAATCTGTCTTCTTTCAGCTTCATGATGTTATCCATTATCATTATTCTAATAACTTCACTAACCAACATTCACGCTATTTAATTAAACCAAAATGTATCTAAGCACTTAAAAAGAAGAATATGCATAATAACAAGCACTGCAAAGCAGGAGAGTTCAGTCCAAAATATTAATCTTAAATTATATGAAGATGAAGATTATGTGCTTCATTCTTACAAAAATTATATTGCCATATCAGATTTAAATCCCCGGAAAGATGATTAAGAATCAGCCATACATTTGCGTATCACCTTATACTTTTTAAAGCACATTTATGCTTATTATCTTTTTTAAGTCTCACAATAGTTAGGCATTTTTATCATTTGATTTTTGGAAAGTAGAAAACTAGCTGAAGGAAACTGAGGCTATGAGATTTGCAATACAATTGGCTGAACTGATGTGGATGAGAACCTTGAGATAAAAGTATTTGTATCCTAACTGCTTGCCCTCGGTTTGTCTCACTTAGACCCCATAGAGAGTCCTGCCACTAATTCAGTGCTCATATACCAGTTTTATGATTCTGTAGCTGCTCTAAGGAGTGAAGTATTGGCAGTCAAGAGCACACTCCTGCTTCAGAAATAATATAGGGGCCATAATGCATATTATATAAGTATATACTGCTGTTCTATTGATTTTTTTCTCACATTCATGCTAATACTTAGCATATGATGTAAGTCTCATTAGACCGACTGCATAAATGAGGAAACTCAAAGACACTTAAGGACAAGTGATACTAAGGACAGCATTAGCAGATAAAATGGATGTGGCCATTGTACTCTTTCTACACCTACATGAAGGGTGATTTTCTGATTTCTTTAAAAGCAGTTTCATCACACTAGCCTTGTTAGAGCTATTTCCACCAAAACTATAAGACAAATAAAATCAGATTTCACTTATCGAGTATGTGGTGGGATCCTATCCATTAAAAGTACCACTGTTATTTCCAGGGTACAACTCAAAGCTATATAGTTCAAATATTTAATCTTTACACAAATTGGTAATGCTGTGAAGAGTGGCTGTGAAAACAGCCTTGTTTTGATGATGATTATACCCAACTTCCTAAAGTTGACTTAATGTCTTTAGGAGAACGTGCACTGTAGCAGAAGCACCCGAAACCCATACAAAATGTTACGTCCCTTAATTTCACCTACCTCTGTGGTCTTGTACAAGTTACTTAAAGTCTTGGGTTTTCAGATTCCTCATCAGTTAAAATTTAATTCTAAATGCCAAATCCTTGATTCTGAACTGCATTTTGAAATTAGACCCAGCAACCTCATAATTTGTATAATTTCATTCTCTCTTGATTACCTTAGCAGTTCACGCTGGCCTATTAACATGTGAATGACGACTGAATAAAAGCCTTACACATTTAAATGAAGATATTTCTCTTGTGATATTTCCATTTGAGCTTTATGTCTATTGATTTGTGATTATCCAGTACACTAAAATGAAAATAACCTTGACTAAGAACCAAGAGACATAGATTCTAATCTGGGCTCTGACAGAAACCGTTCATTTAACTTCTGTGAACTACAGTGCCTTTAGGCATAAAGATTCAGTATAAAAATACGTATCCTGTTTATCTCACAAAAAATATGTAAAAAATATAAGTTGACTCTTAGGTTCTGAACATCGAGGTTACAGAATAATCATGAGCAATGGTTCAAACAACACTGATATATTTCTGCTTTACCTGATGGTGAGATGTGCCGCCAAGAAATGGAAGGCTCTGGTTTCCCAGTGGCCAAACAAGTAAGGGTGACATTGGTTCCTTCATTGATGGTCATATCGCTTGAGATGTCATATATCTTCGGAGGAACTGAAATGACAAAACATTCAGTGGTCAGCAAAATACAGTAAAATTCTATTGAACTAAACATGATCAACTCCACGATATTATACCTACAGCCCATGTTCACCACTCAAAATAGAGATTCTCTGGATTGTTAGGACTCTCCTAGAGTTTTCTGTATGTTGGCTGGTTTTATTTGTTCGCCAATTTTTAGATATTGAATACTTCAGCATAAATGAATTAATAACAAAAAAGTTTGAATTTTTGAATTTTACTTCAATTAAAATTTTATTGTCCATACTTGTATTAGACACTGCAATATAGCCAATCTAGCTGTTCCACCTATGTATCTCCACTATAATGATGGCTTTCTTGATGAGGTGATTTAATAAGAATGGAAATTTGGAAGAAACTTAAAATAGCAGAACAGTTGCTCTTTTAAAAGCTAAGTGAGGTAAAACATATATAGGATTAGGAGGTAAGGGGTGCTTGGGTGGCTCAGTCGGTTGAGCATCTGACTCTTGTCAGATCTGACTCAGGTCATGATCTCATGGTTCGTGGGACTGAGTCCTGCGTTGTCAGTGTGGAACTTGGGATGTTCTCTCTCTCTGTCTCTCTCTCTCTCTGCCCCTGCCCTGCTTGTGAGCAAGTGAGTGCCCACCTGCACTCTTTCTCTCAAAATAAATAAACATTTAAAAAAGATTTCAGGGTTACAAAAGCATTTGGGACCTCAATTTTCAATCTGCCAATTAGTAGGGGTGGACTTACTAACCATTTATATTTGAAGGGGCTCCATTTCTAAGGGCTTGAAAAGTGTCTTCTTGTCAGGGAAGGCTGGAAACTGCTGGTTAAAACAGATCTCTTCACCCTGGGATTTCTTAGAACCTTTGTTATGCTTACTGTAAATCTCCAAGAATGAAGGGGATTGTATTTCTTTGTATGTTCTTTTTTTTTTTTTTCCCTCATGTACTAGACTATGTATGCTTTTATCCAAGAGCATTTGAAAAAACCGGTGACCATGGAATATACTTTGGGAATGCTGGATAGGAAAATCCCTAAATGAACTTCCAATTAAACTGTCCATATCCTTTCAAATATCAGACGGTCTCTCACTTCATCCTCAAATGCCATGGATACGAATCCTGGGTTCTCTACCAGCTGTGTTATCCAGGGCAGTTTACGTCTGTATCTCAGCCTCCGTGTCTTCATGTGAAAGATGAAACCCATATAGCTGCTGTGAGGATTAAATAAACCACTGTATTTTAAAGAACTTAGTAAAGCACCTGGCATCAGTATTAGCTATCATTATTAAATGCCCTAGGACACATATGTGGCTTTTGAATTTCATTTCAGTACTGCCCTTTTCCTGTGCTTTCACCAACTCATCACTTTGGCAGTGTGTAAGACCAGCTTGTGCCATAAGTTTTAGTTTACTCTACACAAATTATAGTATGTTGAAGTTCCAGGTAAAAACCAAAAATTGGCAATTAGATGTCTTCATAATTTTTAGACAAATAAGCCTTTTACTGGAATTCTTTTAATTGTTCCATTCTTAGGCTTTCTTTATGCAAAAGATATGTTTTCACAGCTATTTTTAAAAAGGTAATTAAAATTTGTCACAGGGATAAATTAAATTATCTATACTTTGAATATCATCTTAGATTTTTTTAATAAAACCAATATTCCATTACCAAAAAACCCCTAGAATGATTTGATTATAAATATAAAGTATTTGATTATATATAACTGTAGCTAAGATTTAGGAAAAAGCTTATTCCTAACTAATATACCATTGTAACTGTTTCTAAATGACATTCTTTAATTGGCATTTAAAACAAATTATCATTAAACTCTTCAGTGAGTTTTCCCAGGCAAAAATAAAAATAAAAAAAATAAGAATCATTCCAAACCGAAGACTCTTTTTAGCTTAACTGAAACAGAACAGAAATAAAAGACATTAAGATACCCTTGGAGGAAAGTAGAAAAAAGTGTGCATGACTCATTGGTGAATAGGAGAACTAATAAGAATCAACTTAAATTAAACAAAACCATCATCTGGATATACGGATGTAGGTGCAGGTTTGAAATAGTAAACTATGAAATACGTGTGTACATATGTACATATATAAATACACACACAATTACATACACGCTAATGGCCACTATTTAAACAAAAGTTATATAGTACTTTCCTCCTTCATACAGGAGACAGTACATAGAGATCAGTCAAGTTTATCGACGCATTCCAAGCATATAACTGACTCAATTTTGGGCAAAGGTATGTATATTTAAGAAAAATGATGGAATGCCACAAGACCATGAATTCTATCCTGTATATTATTTTGTCAATTCTTTCTGATCTTAAGAGTTAGTTTACTCTTTACATGTCTACCTATATTTAAAGTGGTAAACATGAGTGATAAACTAATATTAAGCACACTATTTGGCTTCACAGAGAAACAACTAAGTCCCTTAGCAATAAACTTAGATTTGACATTTAACTTTGGGAAATTGTGTGGTGGGGATGAGTGTTGAATTCCAGGTGTGACATGTCATCTCAGTGATGGCAATTGCCTCCCGGGGCCTCATAAGTCAGGATATGTTACAGGGAAGAAACATCTGGAAAGAGGATGTTAGCAAAGGAAAATCCCTCTGGCAAGGCTCTTCTCCCTAGAATGCATCACCTGTTGGCAGCAGATGCTGTGTGTGAAGAGGGCCAATGAAATCCTTCACATGCACTGTAGCTCGTGGAGGCAAAAACAGGTGTTGCTTTGCTGACTGTTCAAAGCCATTTTATATTCAGTTCAAGACTGCAAACTTTTGCTGAGTATTGTGGAGGGAATAATTCTGGACTCACAGGAAATGCAAAATTTTCAAGGCATAATCCTTGCCCTCAAGGAACTTAAAATTAAAAGAAGGAGGCAATTAGGTAAGTAATGAAGAGAAGACAAATATTTTCCATTCCCATTTTACATGAGTAACACATGTCTAATAGGTATGCCTTGTGCGACCAAATCAGCAGACATTAGTTTTATGTTGGTTTCCTTTAAAGAGAACCATGTAGGATAGTTTATGCACAAAGTTATTCAGTGTGGTACTATTTATAATAGAGAAAAACTATTAATGGCCTCAATGTAGGACGACAGAAATAGAGGTATTGTTAGCTCTGCATCTAGAATAAGGAATGGTACTGGGAAAGGACTTGGGATGATCTGAGGCAGCATCATGCTAGGAGAAAACAGAAGAGAAAAAAAGATGCTTTTACTTTGGGTAACAAGAGCAGGGAAGAATGGTAATGCCTCAGGCATCTTAAGATCATTCAGTTCTGATGGGTGTCCCTGGGTTATAGTTTGTGTATAAATCATGCATGCACACAGGTCGGGAGGACTCTGTTGAGCTCTGTGAGTGACAAAGCAGCATGTCTATAGTATTTCCAATATACTATGCACTTGCATAGAAAAACAGAACAATGAAGAGAGTTAAAATATCTTATTATTCTAGGTGTATGTTCCTTTTCCATATGCCTTATCTTAAACTCTCTCAAACTCTTTTCATTTAGAAATTGAGCTGAAAAATCATTTGTCTGTAAAGGTGCATAAGTGTTCAATCAATTCAACAATTTTTAAATCACTAAGTAAGTACAGATTTTAGTAACATTTTGAGTTGCTGTGCACATGTTTATGACCTAGAGCAGAATAATAAAGGAATAAATTAGTCATCTAAATGTAAACTTGTTTAATTCATAGGAAGAAATTATTATAACATTATCATCACTGTTATCATCATCACGATACCATAAGTAAAAACAATGAAGTTACAGATTTCATACTGAATCACAGAATATCTCTCTCCTAAGTGGACCCTTATTGGGGATTCTTATGACTTTGCAACTGTGTTCATAATTAATTGTTCTATGTCACCAGTTACAGAATTGAAGAACATTGGAAACTTTCTAAACAACAGAGGTTGGAAGATTGTGTTAGGATGGAGTGTTTTTTGAAATTCCCATATACATTTAAGGGAGTAACTCTTGGATCCTCAAATTGATCATCTGCTTTGCCTTTAATTACTTGCAGGCCTCAAATTCAACTACTACCTAGTACTGCGTCCTCAATTCCTATTCGCCTCACCATGGTGAGGGGATAATGCATATTTAGGTGAATCTCTTGATTTCAATTTACTAAAGGTAATTTAAACTTCTGTTTAGTTTCACTTTCACTAAAAAATGTGCAGTCTGACCTGCCCCGACTGCCTTCTCTCAGTTCAGCCATCTATCACAGTGTCCTCAAGCAGGGTATGGAGCGGTATCAGTAAGGAAAATTGTAGAATATATATCCAAACCAAAAACTAATGATTTCTACAGGGCCAGCCATTTGGGATTATCCTGCACCATTTGCACCATCATGTGCAACTGAGTTTGTGAGTGGCTTCATCTGTTTTTTGTTTTTAAAGTGCACCCATTTTTATCTACATATAAATAAAATAAGTCTTTCACTTGTTTGTTTAATGAGCAGCCTTCACAGAGTTAACTTCAATTTCTTCTAAGAATCCATCTTGTAGTCTGGAACATAACCAATAAAAATTTGAGAAGTCAACATAAGGATGACTATGAGACTATGATTCATATGAATCATTTGAATCATATGAGCCCAGTGTTTTATCATATTAAATGCGCAGATGACTTTGAGAAGTAATAAACACAACATCGTTCACACCCATACCAAGTTCCATGAGATGTGAGGCTGGGTCACACATAACACTGAAAACCTTAGATGATATATTTGATGATTATCTTAACTGTAAGTGCAAGACAGTGACTATTTGGATTGGGAAAGTTGTGTTGGCTCACTAGAATCAATTAAATGGCCCATCAAGTTCTTAAGTTGTGAGAGTCAATTAAAGACCACAGCACATACAAATCCATGTGGAAGTCTTCTTTGAATTTACAGGGATTAAAAAAAAAATGGATGAAGTACGTACTTAATCTGGCCCCAAACATTCACAGATTATTGAAGGAAACATCAGTT